TCGATCCCACGACCCTGGGATCATGACCTGAACTGAAATCAAGATTCAGACCCTCAACTGACTGAGCCATCCAGGTGTCCCTACTGTTTTGGTTTTGGTTTACTGTTTGGTGTCCCTACTGTTTTGGTCCCTAATGTTTGGTTTTGGCTTACTCTGTCCGTTAAGAGAGGCATGTTAAAATCTCCCACGATGATTGTGGATGTATTTTTTCTTAATTTCTGTCCACTTTGGGGGAGGGTGGCTCAGTCAGTAAGCATCTGATTTCAACTCAGGTCATGATCGCACAGTTCATGGGTTCGAGCCCCGCGCAGGGCTCTGTGCTGACAGCTCGGAGCCTGGAGCCTGCTTCGGATTCTGTGTCTCCCTCTCTCTGTGCCCCTTCCCTGCTAGAACTCTGTGTCTCTCTGAAAAATAGATAAACATTAAAATTTTTTTAAATAAATTTGTCCACTTTTTAAATTATTATATTTAAAGTGTAGAATTTGGTGGCTTTTAGTATGTTCACAAAGCTGTGCAATCATTACCACTATGTTTTTATCACTCCTCTAAAGAAACCTCATTCCCCTTAGCAGTCACCCCCCCCACCCCTGCCCTTTCCTGACCTCCCTGCAGCCCTTGGCAACCGCTAGTCTGCTTTGTGTCTATAGATTTGCCTCTTCTGGACATATTTCTGTTCATTTTTGCTTTATTTCTTTTTAAGTTTATTTACTTATTTTGAGAGAGAGAGGGAGAGAGCACAAGTGGGGAAGGGGCAGAGAGGGAGGGAGACAGAGAATCCCAAGCAGGCTCAACACCACCAGTGCAGAGCCCGATGTGGGGCTCGAACCCTGTGAGATCATCACCTGAACTGAAGTCTGACACTTAACCGGCTGAGCTGCCCAGGAGCCCCTCACTTTTGCTTTATAAACTTTGAGGCTAAATTACCAGGTATGCACAAATTGAAAACCACATTTTCTTGGTGAACTGAACTTTTTATCATCAGAGTGATCTCTGCCTTGAAGTCTATTTTTTAAAAAATTTTTTTTTTCAACGTTTATTTATTTTTGGGACAGAGAGAGACAGAGCATGAACGGGGGAGGGGCAGAGAGAGAGGGAGACACAGAATCGGAAACAGGCTCCAGGCTCTGAGCCATCAGCCCAGAGCCTGACGCGGGGCTCGAACTCACGGACCGCGAGATCGTGACCCGGCTGAAGTCGGACGCTTAACCGACTGCGCCACCCAGGCGCCCCTACAGTTGAACTTTTAAAGTCCTTTTTGACAGGGGCACCTGGGTGGCTCAGTCAGTTGGGTGTCCAACTT